CGTCATCAATGTGTTCTGTCTTATATCGAATTGCATTGTGGATATTCCAAGATCTCACATTTCAGCTGAGAAATTCTCACAAACGTTCTCTATTATAAATACGCCATTCATTCTTCTGGAAGAAAGAAAATGCTGTCGCCCAACGGCTTCAATATGACATCTTTTATTCACTCCATTGTTATCCAACAAATTCGTATCAACCACGTCACTTGAACTCTTTCCAATCAGCGACAACATAAACCTTGTCTCCACTTGTTTGACTGATATGGCTTTCTTTTTTTCACTTTATTATGATCACAAAAGTGTAGACAAAAAGGATTTAACAGAACATGCAAAAATAGGTCTTTTGTTCAAGGAAAACATAATCGCGTGCCAAGAGCCGAGAAAGGGAAGGGAGATAACTCTAATATGAACAACTGATAGTTTCACATGACCTATGAAAATATGCAAAAGAGAAAAATGACATTATTATTTGCTGAAATTAAAGACTACATAATTCTTATTTCATACTTTTTTTATGTTTAAAAGACATATTCTACTGGATTTTTTATTTCGGAAAAGATATTCTACGCGCACACTATTTTCTCGCTGATTTTTAAGGTAAATAGCGAACTCCTCACATTTGGGATATTAGAACAATACAGTCTATCAGCTATTCATCTCTCCTATTTTCGCCTCGTACCAGAATTAAACCACGTAAATAAACTTTTGTCTACAGACGTGCGTGTTGACACAACGCACTCACCCACATCGTCATTAGACAGCTGAGATCGGTAAAGAAAAACACATTCTCCCACCAAAACTCATTCTTATCGCCGGGTATTTTCATTTGGAAAAATACACACACAAGGTCATCGATATACGACACAGGGTTAGGAATTTCATTATTTCATACAATATCTAACCGTAAAAGATATTAAAAAAATGGGTATGAATAACGAATGTATATATAATTGTGACCTGATATTTAATAAAGAATATTAATAATAGATTCTATTAAATTTCTTAAATTCAATTTATTTCTTTAAATTCAATTTATTTCTTTAAATTGAATTTCAATAAATGTCAGCAATGATCGAGCTACATTAAACATTAGAAATAATTTCAGTTCCTTCCATGTTCATTTGTGTTAATGCATCTCACCAAGAAGGCATCTGAACGAGAACAAGTTTCTGTTACAATGTCGAGAAAATAGTACATCAACGAAGAATCAATGCCGAGATAAATGCAGTGAGAATGGATTTACTGCCATCTATGGAATGAGAAATGCTTCAAAATAAATGTTGCGAATGAGACAGAAAAGCTTGCCATTGAATCCTGCTTGATTGCGTCACTTTGATAGACAGCGAAACAAAAGCCATTTCTCAACATTTTCATAGACGCTTGCTTGAAACTAACGGAAAAATATTTTTGTAGTTTACTTCGACTGTGAACGTTTACGATTTCAGATTATAAACAACTAGCAGCTGTACCCATCTGGTCGATCAAAAAAAAACGTCCAATTAAAATGGGGTAAAACAGCATCATGTTTAGATGTAACGGAGTCAGTCTTCTTCAATTAGTTTAAAGTACTTTCATTAAAAACATTTTGAATTAATGCAGTTACTGATATAACAGATGTAGTTTATATTTATTTAATCGAAGTTAGCCGATGACATAAAGGTATCAAATAGGTAACATGAAGACCCACTTCAGACCACAATTATTTTGGAGATTTTGAAATTCAATTTGTCAGTGTGCCATCGGAGATGTAAAAGAGGATACATTTATAAAGCAATTATTAAGTTTGATGAAAATTGGTTGAAAGATCAACAAAAAATAATAAAGAAACCAGTAAAAAATCGCCATTTTTCCGCTAAATTTCCCATGTTTTTTCTTATATGGGTGGGCTTAATTATCAAGTTAAATGACTGTTAAACAATCAACTTATTGTTGGCTACAATTGAGTGAAGTCTGTATTAGATTGCTTAAAAATTGATGGAGTTTTTAGTTTAAAATTTGTGTTGAAATTGATTTATTCATTTTTAGCAGTTTTTCGCTAAACGCAGTAGCGTATAAATAAAAAAAATGAGGTATCGTTGAGCTCGTCATGATGTAAGCAAACTTTAAACCGAGTTTGAACGAAATCGGAGAAAAAAATGAATTTATCGATTTTTGATCGTCTTTATCGATCATTATTTTAAAAAAAATATCGATTTTTACGCTAAGAACAATATATGCGCCAAGTTTGGTCAAAATCGGTTGGATAGATCTCGAGTGAAAAGGTATCCTTTTTCATATATATATATATATATATATATATATATATATAAAATAAATAAATAAAAAAAACGATTGAAAGCCTGACCGTAAAACCATTCAAGCTTCTCCTCTTTCTTTCTCTTCTCGGGCTGCCATCTAGTAAGACGGGCATGCGCATCTGTTTCCCTATAGATGGTGATTTTCTAAGCATAGCTTAGATGTGGCAGAAAGCCACCGAATGAGGATCGAACTCACTACTCAGTCGCAATTGTTTTAGTGAGACAAGCTCATTAAACATTACACCACATCTAGGTAATCATAAATAAGTTTCTAAGCGTAGCTTAGATGTGACACAAGGGCGAAAGTATAGAGGCACCTAGTGAGGATCGAACTCACTATTCAGTTGTAATTGGTCTAGCGAAACAAGCTTGCTAACCATTACACCACATCAAAGTGCCCCCCTCTTCTCTCTATATATATAAGTACATTTGCCATTTATATGCTACAGTTAAAAATATCGATTCGCAAATCAACTCACCCGTGATGAAATTTTGATCATTATTGGATATTCCACTGTTCGAAGCTAAACTTAGTTGTGTTGATGTCTCTCTTAACATAAGGGAGTGGACGACCATATTACCGTGATTCACCGCTCCTAAAAATTTATGGCCGCCATCTACCGAGAATGTCGGTTAGTGTCACTTGAATTTGAAGTCAATTATATATCCCGATTCTTGCTAGAATTGCCCAAGTATACAGAGAATCGTCTCCACATGTTGAGAATTTTAATTCAAAAGTTTCTTTCAATGTAAAAATAAAGCGCTGATATTTTAAGCGAAGATATTCGTCCACCTTATGCATTTAGCTGTTTTTTTTTCTCTTACACAGCCAAGAACTGAACGCATTAATTACAGTTCTCTCTATTCAGGCTTTCCTTTAAGCAGTGCTTCAGGTGTAAAAACAGTGAGAAAATGGTCGTTGCATTTATTCAATCATTTCTTTAAGAACTGTTAGATTGTTTTTGTGTAGGTAACAAAAAATTTCACACTAAAATTGCCGTTACGAATCGGGGAAATTTATTAGATATAAAATCATGAGCAGTTTTACTTTGAAAATACATCCAGCAATTGTGAACGAGATATCTCGTCGGAATCTACAGAATGTTATTTTCTGCATAATTTTTCATTAAATTCTCGAAAGACAATAATTAATATCCTACATGAGCATATTGTATTGTCGAAATTTGAAAAAAGAGCAGTTCTAAATTGAGAAAATAAAAAATCCCCTAAGAGGTTAAAATTGCCAACAATAAATAAATTCATTTAATTTCTCTCTTCATTTGTTTTCCTTTTATTTTAGTATGAAAAAATCGAAGATTTCAACTGAAATGTAATATTTAATATATCTTAGTTAAAATGACAGCAAAGGCCAATTTATATAGAAAACATTGTAACTATGTTTAGTGTCCCAGGTAACATCAACATAGAGGTTCCCCAGGTTCGCCCGACTAGGAACAAGGAAAGTGCTATCAATTAAATGACAATTCGCCTATACGGATAAGGACTATATTTTGGACCCGGCTCTACAGGATATAAAGCAGGAATCAAAACATACACAAATAATAATAATAATAATAATAATTATTATTATTATTATTATTATTATTATTATTATTATTATTATATGTCCGGAGCTAGCAAAAAATGAATATACCCACAGACATAACAAGGTAGCGATATATGTGCACTAGAAGATATGCAAGAAGCACAAAATGGAAACCACTGAGAGATGGTATGAGCATCAACCAGACACATTTACCCAAGATACCGATGTAATTATCCTCTGAAACATGCCAATTCAAACTGACAAGGAAATAAAAGCCAACAGACCTGATATTATAAAAGACAAGAAATTCAGGAAGTGTATGCTTATTGACGTAGCAGTAGCATCTGAGAGAAACACATCCATGAAAATTATCGAGAAATTGTCCAAATACAAGGGCCTGGAGATCGAGATTAACAAGATGTGGGGGATGAAAACTGAGACTGTACCAATAGTAATCGGAGCTCTGGGCCTCGTGAGAAAAAGAATGGACAATTTTACTAACAATGTCTCAGGTAACATCAACATACAAGTTAGCCAGATGATAGCCCTACTAGGAACATCACATATACTAAGAAAAGTGTTATCAATTAAATGACAATTCGCCTAAATGGCCTAAGGACCGTAGTTTGGACTCAGCTCTAAGGATACAAAGCAGGAAACATAACACACAAACAATAATAATAATAATAATAATGGGGAATGAAGACTGATATTCTACCAATAGTAATAGGTGCTCTGAGCCTCGTAAGAAAAGGAATGGACAAGAAAACATCATCGTGGGAAAAAGAATGGTCCCAGGTTACATCAACATACAAGTTGACCAGAAGATCGCCCTACTAGGAACATCATATATACTAAGAAAAGTGCTATGAATTAAATGACAATTCTCCTATATGGCCTAAGGACCATAGTTTGAACCCGGCTCTAAAGGATACAACGCAGAAAACATAACATACACAAATAATAATAATAATAATAATAACAGCAATAAAAATAATAATAATGCATTTCTGCTGCACACTTTGTAAAAGTCGATTTTCTTTCTTCCGCTCGATTTTGTATTCTAAACTTGGATTATTTACTCATTGCACAAACGAAAGATTTTTATTGATCAACTCATCATGTCATTTCGTATTCAGTCTTGTTCAATCAAAATGTCGCACCCTGCAGTAGTTTTGAAAAGCGACAGCTGTAGCTGTCAGAAAAGCTATTCTACTTGATAGAAGACCTCAAACTAAGGTGCAGCGACCTTGAAATGACGACATAATCGAAAAGAACCAACAGTTTATTGATTGTCCCAACAGCTAGCCACACTGTTCGCTTTCTGTTGCTTTTTTTGTTTCCGTTTTTTTTGTTTTTTTTTGGAAGGGAGAGTTTTTATCGCCTGCTCTCACAAAACACTTTCTCTCTTTTCTCTCTCTCTCTCTCTCTCTCTCTCTCTCTCTCTCTCTCTCTCTCTCCTCTATGTCTCTATCTTTCTTTGTCTCTTTCCATCACACACTTTCTCTTATCTCTGTTTAGTTCCCCCCTCTCAGTGTATATTCTTTAGCTTTACGTTCTCTTTTCTAAAGAGAAAACAAATTCTCTTTCATTTACATATTTTGCTCTTTTCTCTTTCGTACGTAGAAAATGTCGAATGGCTGAAGAGGATCACTTTTAGAATATTTGTCAGTCGATCTCTGAGTGATTGCTTTATGCTAAGTCGTGTCATACGTTTACGCATTTCTATACCAACACACATACACACACACACACACACACACACACACATATATATATATATGTGTGTGTGTGTGTGTGTGTGTATGTATGCATAAACTCATACATATATATGAATGTGTATGCCCTAATGATTCACACATACGAATTCGAGGGACAAATTTTCTAAACATGATCCTCTTCAACCATCCAGCATTCAATGTCTCCAAACCTTCCTATCTTTTGTAGCTCTTATTAAGTTTATCTTTTTACTATCCATCCTTCTTCCTTTTACTTCCTATTAATACTTCTCCTTCTTCCTTTTACTTCCTGTTACTATTCTTTATGCTTCCTTTTCCTTCCTATTACTATCCCTCTCTCTTCCTTTTACTTCCTATTTCTATCCCTCCTTCTTCCTTTTAATTCCTATTACTAGACCTCTCTCTTCGTTTTACTTCCAATTACTATCCCTCCCACTTCCTTTTACTTCCTATTTCTATCCCTCCTTCTTCCTTTTACTTCCTATTACTATCCCTCTCTCTTTTTTTACTTCCTATTACTATCCCTCCCACTTCCTTTTACTTCCTATTTCTATCCCTCCTTCTTCCTTTTACTTCCTATTACTATCCCTCTCTCTTTTTACTATTCCTTTTTTTTATTACTATCCCTCCCACTTCCTTTTACTTCCTATTTCTATCCCTCTCTTTTTTTCTTCCTTACTATTTTACTTTTTCCTATTACTATCCCTCTCTCTTTTTTTTACTTCCTATTACTATCCCTCCCACTTCCTTTTACTTCCTATTTCTATCCCTCCTTCAAACTTCCATGCTCTGTTCATAGTATTCCCAGCATCCTTCTGTAAAACCAGATATCAGTGTACATACGACACACATTATTCAAATATATAAACGCATCTCAGACATGACAAATTAGACTTCAATTATATCTGAGATGAAAATGTATGAAAATTACAAAATATTTTCCTGTTTGAAAAGACAAACACAGCAGCGAAGATATGCAAATGTTTATTGCATTTAATCAGATTATATATTACTCTGAACATAATCAATACGAAACGAGTTGGATTTGATTCTAGAATTAACTTAGGGTCTTACGTGTAACAATCAAATGAGACTATACAGTACCCTCTCACCGACTGAAGGTATTTTGTGATTTACAACAGAAAAACCAGGTTCCTACTTGTTAATACAGAAACTAACACCCGTAACAATATATATATATATATATATATATATATATATATATATATATAGGACAGACTGGATTCTATAGCCTTGGATGGCAACTGGTCTAGGAGAAGGACAACTCTGAATTCAAATCTGGAGTGGAGCCCCTAAGGCGGATGGACGGCACTTTATGCTACCTTCCGGCAACTCCTGCAGCTGCGCTGGTACCAAACTGTATTCGTTTATCCCCTCCTTTGGACTCTGCTAGCAAGGCCGAGAGGGGGAACTAGACGTCTGGGCAGCCCTAGTTCTCTATATATATTAAACCAAGGCTCGTAGCGCACTGAGCGCTACTCTATCGTCTCTCGAGACGGACGGATGTCGACGACGACGATATATATATATATATATATATATATATATATATATATATATATATATATATATATATATATATGTGCCTAAAGTTCGTGTGCGCTTTAAAAATTTATAACTTTATTTGTATTTGCGATAGAAATAGTCTGTAAAAAATGTTATAAAGTTTAATGTACCTAGTTTTAAGTATAGTTATTGAATAATTATTTACCACAAAATTTGCAACAATTTTTAGATAAGTAAAAAAATATTTTCTTTTTTTCTAAAATCAATTTGATCCATGGCTTCAACTGAGGAAAAAGTAAACTGTGTCATTTGGTTGGCTGAACAGAAATCTACTATTGCTGTAGAAAGAAAGTTTAGAATTGAATACAATAAAGAACCACTTCATAGGAACACTATTGCTAAATGGATGAAAAAATTTAAAAAGGCAGACTCCGTGGAGGACATGAGAAACTTAAATAAAATTTCAAGAAAACCTTAAAAAATATAGATTTACTTTTTTCTAACCCTTTCAAAAACCTTAAAAAAAGATAGATTTCCTTCTTTCTAATCCTTTTTACAAATTATTTCTATCGCAAATACAAATAAAGTTATACATTTTTTAAAGTGCATACGAACTTTATGGACATCCTGTATATATATATATATATATATATATATATGATGAAATTATTTGGTAAACCGTATGGATAATTCCAAAGAGGATATAAATCCAAAGAGAGATCAATGTAAGAACAGAGCAAACGATTATTAAGAAAGCGGGGACTTTAGAAATCCATGGTAATATTTTATTTCGCGAAACCGATTTCGCTTCAGATTAAATTGTTTCAACAATAAATCGATTTTTATCTATGTTTTTAAAATCCAATTATTATTGAAACTGTTTGGTCTGATGAGGCGAATCCGAAGCATCGGTTTCTCGAAATAAAATATTACCATGGATTTCTAAAGACTCCTTTTTTTATATATATATATATATATATATATATATATATATATATATATTTTGAACCAGAAATGCGAAGTCATGAAACTTTGCATACATATTAAAACATTCCGATTAAGCACATATGAGACTGTATTAAAAAAAATGTACATTTCAATTAACCCCACCACCGATACATTTATAATACCCTTGTTTTTCTTCTCTTCCCCTTCTTCTTCTTCTTCTTCTTCTTCTTCTTCTTCTTCTTCTTCTTCTTCTTCTTCTTCTTCTTTCCTTTCTATCACACCCAACGTTATGTGTCTATTTATTTTTAAAAATAATATAACGTTCATTAGATTTTTTTAATTAAGTGTTGGGAGGTCAATTGATAAAAATCGCCTGAGGAGACCGTAAGGTTGAAACCAAGGCAGCGGATTCAACTGACCTCCTAATTTTTGAAGTTAAAAGCTTACATGTTATTTTTAATTTTATTTTATTTTTTCATACGTGTATTGAGCACTTTTTAATACTACGTTTTCCTGGTCTAATTAAACTCTGACCATATATATATATATATATATATATATATATATATATATATATATATCAAAATAAAAAGAAAGAAGTCAGATTTATAATCCACTGTTCTTTAGCATCTATTTTTAAAACCAGTGCTCGATACACAGTAAAGAACAATATTATAATATTATTATTTAAAATATGTATTCATTGCGACATAGAAATTACCATGTTTCGGAAGTAAAAACTAACCTAATCAAAAAAACTAACTAATCAAAAGAATAGTAAAAAAAAAAACAAGAAAAACTATGTAACTGTAGGAATCCTATAAATTGTCCATTGAATAATAAATGTCTCACAGAATCTATAGTTTACCAATGTACTCATCTCATCTATTGAGAAACCTAATATAAAAAAATTATATTGGTAGCATTAAAAATAATTTTAAATTGAGGTTGAGCCAACATCTTTCTTCCTTCAAAAAATGTGTAACGTAATCAAAGATCCCTATCCAAATATTTTTGGTACCTAAAAGAAACAAATAAAACATCCACAGTAAAATGGAAATTTAAAAAAAAAAACGAGAACTTGTAAGTCTTTAAATGACCCATGTCCTTTGTGACTACATGTTATTAAATTTCTAAAAAAAAAATAAAGATTTATTATTAAATCAAAGAAAGAAAATAACTGGGTTTTTTTTGTAGACACTGCATTATGTTTACTTTAAAAGATAATTAATTAAAAAAAATCATAATTATATATCTATTACTTGATCACAAATAAAAAAGCAGGAAAATATAATTAAATTCCAAAATTTTAAATCTTAATTTTAACAATGCCGTATCTATTATACTAATATATATATAATAAATATAGTATTTTAGATCTTTATAAATAAAAATATAAATATATAAAATATGACTTATTTGAAAGCCCATTTAAGACAAACCCAATGTTTTTTTTATAAAAAAATAAAAGAATAAATAAAAAAATAAATAAAAATGCCAATGTATTGTAATGTATCTTATGTATACCCCTAAAAAAACAAACAGGAATAAGACGTTCTAATATGAGGAAGCCAGTATCAACAGGCAGAAATTACAAACCCACGCCTAACCCTAAACCTATATTTACACTTTGCCATCTTAAATTAGACTTGTATCCTGATTGGTCAAAAAAAGGCAACACCCCTTTAAAATTCTGTAATCCCTTTCCCATCCAACTTAAACTATATATTACTATTTAACTTTAAAAAGTAAATCATTTTTTCGAAAATTAATCAACATCGCTTGAAAATGGAAGAAAAACTTTGATTTTAATGTAAAGGTTAATTTTTACTTCCGAAACATGGTAATTTCTGATGAATACCGCGATGAATATATATTTATAAATTATATATATATATATATATATATTACGTGAAATGGATTAAATCCGAGAAATATTTTAATATATTTTCTTTTTATGGTTACATTTATTTGAGTAAATTCTCTGATTTTTTTTAATTAAATAGTATTAATTCCATTTGCCGGCCTAAATGTTCGAGAAATTTCGTAAAAAATATACCTTCTCCGAGAGGAATCGAATGTATCCTATTCAGAACCATCATTAAGCCTGACGTGCTATGACCGTTCAGCCACAGAGAACTTACGGTTTAGCAAAGCTGGAATTGCACAAACCTCCTCCGATTTTTCTCGATCTATCATATCTGCTCTGAAATTATAGCCTAACGTAAACAATGACAACATATTATATAAAATGGATTAAATCCGACAAATATTTTAATATATTTTCTGTTTACGTTAGGCTACTATATATATATATATATATATATATATATATATTAGCAGTGTGAACAAAGTTCACCACCGAATGGCGACAGTCTGTTTGATTCTAGAATACAATCTTCATGGCGTTTAAGCATGAAACAGACTGTCATCTTTTAGTGTTGAACTCTGTATCTAGACTGCTTACATTTACACACGCCCTCTCTTGGATATTGAGTATTTTACCTTATATATATTCCATACCTTAAAACTATATTTTATCATTCATATATATATATATATATATATATATATATATATATAGATAGATAGATAGATAGATAGATATATCAGTCTGTCTATATATATCTGTCTATTTCTACATCTCCTTCTCTCTAACTGTATTTATCTCCGAGTCCAATCATTTCTTAGAACGATATATAATTTATAAGACATCTTGTAACTTGACGTTTCCCGACACCACATCAAAAACACATTCCTTAATTTGGGGTCTATTTTTCTTGCTTATTTTCATCGCTGCTGATCTTTTGCTAACTTTTGACCGTTTTGTCTTGGCTGCCATTGATAAATTCTTTGCCGCTCATGTCACTGTAATTCTCACAGTCTTTAACTTCAGAATCTGGGATCTGTTCAGAAAAATATAAGAATAAAATACAACATTGATTTTCTTCCAGGAACCTAGATTATTGGTAAAGCCAAATGTTCATGTTTAATTACAAAAAGAAAAAACTTCCTTCAAAAATATAAGCGAAAAGAAAAAAAATGGTTTGATCGATCGAGCCGTGATCTATATTATATATCAAAAAGTAATTTTTCAAAAGCAGGTAGATATGATCTTTGACAAGAATATTTTTCTATCTCAGTGACGGAAGCGTAAGTCTCATTGGGGAGACATTAGTATAAAAAGATTCAAAGTAAAATGCGACAAATCTGAATGTTGCCCAACTTTTTCAGATTTCAATGGACCATTTTCCGAATTCACGTTTTCCTTTCGCGTCAGAAGCAGACGGCTTTTTTATCAAAGAAAAAAATAAACAAGATCTTTTTAGATTTTTATTTTCCCTGCCACAAAATAACAAAGAAAACGTTCTGACTTTCATGTAAGCGAAGGATATATATATATATATATATATATATATATAAAGTCCGACAATTATATCTTCTTTTTATACGTTATTTTTATAGATACAAATATTTACATAAATGTTCTGTTCATAATAAACAGCATTAAAAACATTTACCGGCTTGAATGACTGAGAAATTTCATAAAAAAATATGTGTCCTCCGACAGGAATCGAATCTGTATCGTACACAGAACCATCGTATAGCTACAGAAGAAATAATTCAACCATGCTAACCAGGCGATTCCTCTGTAGCTAAATGATATAGCACGTCAGTTATATATATATATATATTTATTAAAGACATTTTTATGTTTAACGTTCTTTTTTATAGATACAAGTATTTAAGTAAATGCTATGTTTATAATAAACAGTATTAAATAACATTTACCGGCCTGAATGTCCGAGAAATTTTCATAGAAAATATTCGTTCTTTGATAGGATTCGAACCTGCATCCTATACGGAACCGTCATTTACGCTGACGTGCCTTACCGTTCGGTAGACAAGGTCGAATTTACTGCTTATAATATATGACGTCATTTGTTTACATTTGATACGCCAGAGCAGTTATAAATGTACGAGATTCATGGAAGATTGAAGTTTATGGAAGATCTCAACTTAAAGATAAAATAAAAGATAACGAATTAAAGGGAAAAAAAGAAAGGTATAGACTTGAAGTGAAATATCAACATATTTCTACAGATATTTGTTTTTATGACTGCATGTGATAATTAATTCATTTCTCTTGATTAATAAATTAGTTATATAATTTTTTTTTAAATAGTTCATTTTTCTACATGGCAAATGTTAGTTCTTTTGCCTTTACCATTCTCAGATTTTGTTCTTGCTATTATGTCCCACGTAATCATGGGTCTATTGTCACTATCCTTGAATTAACAGTAATATTTAGAAAGAACCGTGTTGTTTTGGCATTTATTGTTACTTAGACTTAGTTTGTGATTGTTAAAACGATATTTCCAACGCGTTTCATGTCAACATTTTTTATAATATTTTATGTTAGCTCTATGTACAATATTCTTAGCCAAACATTGGCCGTTTATGGGATAGATGGTATTGTTTCGGCAGTTACATTTTTATTATTTACTCTTGCCTCGTTATTATTGTTTTGTTTTGTATTTTTTAGTTCGGTCGATAAAGATTTTTCGACTTGTTACTTTCTTCTTTTCTCCCTCTTATTTTATACCTATCTCTTCAGTTACTCCATCTCTCTGTCTTTCTCTCTCAATCTCTCTTATATATATATATATATATTTGTGTGTGTGTGTGTGTGTGTGTGTGTGTGTGTGTGTGTTTTTGTCTATCTAGCTGTCAATATCTGTTACTTTTTCTTTCTTGCTGTCTTTAGCTCGTCTTCTCTATCGCATATCTTCTTACCATCGCTTCTCTCGATTTCATTTTCCCTCTTTTCTCTCGCCTTAGATAAATGAAATCAATACTCGCACGTTGATAAAACATAGACCACATATATCGATTATTTTAATATATTGAAATCACCTTTTGAAGATAGTTATATTGTGGATGGTGGTGTTTATAGACGGGATTATTTTCCCGCAGGTTGTAAGCGTACAGAAGTGTCCAGCGGCGCTTCGGGCTCCTGTTGTGGTCGGCCATGTGCACCAAGTTACAATGAAAAAACAAGGCATCACCTGCAATAACAAAAACAAACATTTTATACAGACAATTAATATCACACTTGGTAAATATTTGTTTGATACTTTATATCGAGAAACCAGGACACCTCGAGGCAGTGTAATGGTTAGCAAGTGTGTCTTGCTAGAACAATTACCACTGAGTGGTGAGTTCGATCCTCACTGGGTGCCACATACTTTCGGCTTTGTGCCACATCTAAGCTACGCTTGGAAAATAACTATTTGGGGCACCTTGAGGCGGTGTAATGGTTAGCAAGTGTGTCTTGCTAGAACAATTATGACTGAGTATTGAGTTCGATCCCCACAGGGTGCCCCATACTTAGAGCCTTGTGCCACATCTAAGCTACGCTTTGAAAATCACTATTTGAGCCATCTTGAGGCGGTGTAATAGTTATCAAGATTGTCTCCCTAGAACAATTACGACTGTAGTAGTGAGTTCGATCCTCCTCGGTGTCTCATATTTTCGCCCTTGTGCCACATCTAAGCTACGCTTGGAAAATCATTATATCGAGAAAATATTCTCTTTTCTTTTATCTATGAGGTCACTATTCGGAAGGCGAGAAATTATCCTTCCAAAATATTGGTCTAAAATTCTTTCTACTGTGTCAACTAAATAAAATAATTTGAAAAAAGGGATAGGAAAAAAAAAGAACCCAAGAAATGATCAAAAAAATAAAGGCAAAAAATTATAACGAATATAAATCGATTGTTTTTATCTTATAATCAAAGAATTTCGAAATTAAGTCTATTCTAATTATTAAATACATGGCTTCATTTTTATAACCGATTGCAATTTTCATTTCGTTTTAGCGTTTCATGTTTTTCTGGTCACAACATTTCGGCTGATGTTTTCTTCCGCCTTCCTCAAGGTGTGTTAGAATTTTTTTTCAAAGGCACAAAATCACTTTAGTTTAACACGTCTACAGGATCACAAACAGCAAAACAAAATCGTGAGGTAAAATGAAACCAGAAAAAGAAAATGGAAAGCAGAGTTGAAGATGTAACAAGGTTTGCATTCAATTACTCGCCAAAGATGAACACCACGAATGGGAAGATATACATTGTTATGGGCTCCTCCCCTTTTTCATATAAGTGGACTCGACCAGAGTGTTACTTGGACTGCTGCCGTTAAATATCCAGAGTCAGTCAGAATAGGGGGGGAGTGGACAGTGATTGAGTTGGAGGTAGAGTAATAGTGTGAGGTAACCGCTTATAGAAGTCTCAGTTACAAGCACGTAGACTCTAAGGAAGTCCTACTTCGAGACTGTATATATATATATATATATATATATATATATATTATTATTATTATTATTATTATTGCTACTAACCGCGTTCCTGGATTTACTAACAATATTACCCTTTGTATTATTGTGTAAATACATTTTATTTCTTAAATTTATTCTTGCGTTTGTCATTCATTGGGGACCGAATTTCGTCTCGGAATCCACGACAAATTGGCGACGAAGATTCGAACCCACGCGGAAAAGAAAAAATCAACAAAAGAAAAATCTTCCTTCGTCGTCCAACAAACAAATTGGCGACGAAGATTCGAACTCACGCGGAAAAGAAAAGATACTCACGCGGAAAAGAAAAGATCAACAAAAGAAAAATCTTCTCTCGTCGTCCAACAAGCAAATTGGCACACACAGGGAAAAAAAATAACAAATTCGCGCCGAGCGATTCGAACTCACACAAGAAGAAACAGAAAAATCCGTCCCTCGTCCACAACAAATTAACGACAAAGAGTTACGTGGAGTAAAAATACGTAAAATTTGAGTTATCATGGAAGATTTTAAAAATATTTTGGTAGAACTGATAAAATACCAAAATGATCAATAATTACAACTACAAGAAAGAATGGAAGAAAAATGGCAAAAGCAATTATTTCAAACGCAAAAGGAAAATATAGAAAGACAAATAGAGCTCCAGGAACTAATATTGAAAGTAGCGGGCAACAAGCAATTAGATATTGAAAAAGAAGCAACATTTTCGCAAGACGCAGTGTGGAAAACCATAGAGATTTTCAAATATTCTCCAGATGAGGACAAAAATTTTGGAGATTACTTCAGAAGACATGAAGACATCTTTAACATTGACTGTCAAAATTGGACAGAAGCAAAAAAGCTACGTCTATTGCTTAGAAAATTAAGAACCGAAGAATATACAAAGTTCGTGGATTATATCTTGCCAAAAAAGACGAACGAATTAACATTTGACGAAGCAGTGACATGTCTTAAAGAACTCTTCAGCCCGAAAACATCACTCTTCCACAGGAGGTGGAAATGCCTTAACCTGGTAAAGGGCGATAATGAAGCTTATTCCACGTTTGCCGCAATCGTAAATAAACATTGTGACGACTTTAAACTAGCGGAATTAACCCCGAACAATTTCAAATGTCTCATCTTTGTTCAAGGGTTAGTTTCTACAAAAAATAGCGAAATGCACAGAAGAATGCTTGAAAAATGATAAAATGAACCGGGTCTAACATTACAGCAATTATCGGAAGATTGCCAGATATGTTTAAGTATAAAGAAAGACGCAAAGGACATTGAAGAATCAGCTGTTTCGCATATACGTAAGTTAAACAAAAGTCTACGTTCTTCACCCTCCCCGGAAAGAAAACTAAAATTTTACGACAATGAAAAAAGATTCTCACCCTCCCCGAAAAGAAAAAGAAAATTTTATAAGAGGAAAAGTACAACATACAGGATAAATTATGACGAATATCGGAACAAATTACCCCCCCCCATCAGCATGTTATCGATGTGGAGGACTACATTGGAACAAAGATTGCCGCTTTAAATATAAAAACAGTCTTGAATGTGGAAAAAAGGGCCACACGGCATCCCAATGTAGAAATAGAAAAGATACTAATAGAATAAGAGCTACAAGGATGAATAACGATGACAACACCAACGGAAAGAAATATGTGGAACTGGAAATTTTAAATAAAAAGTTTAAATTACAACTAGATTCAGGTTCCGACCTCACGATAATCAACTTACAGACATGGAGAAACCTCAACAGACCTACCATGTTACACACACAAAAAATTGCCAAGTCGGTTACAGGCAAACGAATAAAATTTGCGAGAGAAATAATCGTGAGTGTTAAATTTCACGGCAAAACAAAAAAACTTAAGATATACGTTATGAAAGATACTGAAAATCTAGTAGGTATCGACTGGATGCAGAAGCTCAACGTTTGGGACCTACCTATCAACTCTTTTTGCAAAAAGTTAGAGGTTGAACCATCAGATACTATAAAATTGAAGGAGGAATTATATAATCAATTTCCTGAAGTATTTTCAAACTGGTTGGAACGATGCAACAAATTTAAGGCCAAAATAGAATTAAAAGAAAACGTCCAACCAATTTTTAAAAAGAAGCGAAATGTACTATTCGCTACTATAGAAAAAATAGACAAAGAATTGGAGAGACTTGAACAAACTGGGATTCTATCAAAAACAGAGTTTAGCGAGTGGACAGCGCCGGTGGTTTATGTAAAAAAGTCAGGAGAAATCCGCGTATGAGCAGATTTTTCGACGGGACTCAACAAGGCGATAAAAGACCACCATTACCCACTACCGAGCCAGAATAAATATTTACAAAGCTTAACGGCGGTAAGATATTTCCAAAAATAGATCTAAGTGAGGCTTATCTACAAATCCCAGTACAAGAAGAGAGTACGAAAATCCTTTGCATTAATACGCACAAAGGGTTGTACAAATTCAACAGACTACCATTCGGAGTAAAAGTTGCACCAGCAATTTTTCAGCAAACGATAGACACAATACTCACGGGCCAGAATTTCGCGACCGCTTATCTGGATGATATTCTAATTAAGAGCGACAATGTTGAAGAGCACACATCACACATAAAGGAAGTTTTCAGAAGACTTCAGGACTTTGGGTTCAAAGTAAAAGGAGAAAAGTGTGATTTTTTTCCTAAATGAAATCAAATATTTAGGTCAGATAATAAATGAAAATGACAGGAAACCGGACCCAGAGAGGGCATCGGCAATTAAAAATATGCCAGAACCAAAAAATGTTGCAGAACTACAAAGTTTTCTGGGCCTAGCTAACTACTATGGCGAATTTATTGATAATATGCATAAACTGAGGGCTCCACTAAATGAGTTACTAAAAAAAGAAGAATTGGAATTGGACAGAGGACTGTAAAAAGCATTTAAGGAAATAATACAAAAATACTAACTCCCCTAAAAAGGGATCTAAGGAGGGGGTGTTATGGGGTCCTCCCTTTTTTCATATAAGTGGACTCGACCAGAGTGTTACTTGGACTGCTGCCGTTAAATACCCTGAGTCAGTCAGAATATAGAGAGAGAGCGAGCGAGCGAGAGTGAGCAGAGATTGTGATTGATTTGGAGGTAGAGTAATAGTGTGAGGTAACCACTTGTAGAAGTCTCTGTTACAAGCACGTAGACTCTAAGGAAGTCCTATCCGAGACTGTATATATATATATATATATATATATATATATATATATATATATTATTATTGCTACTAACCGCCTTCCTGGATTTACTAACAGTATTACCCTTTGTATTATTGTGTAAATACATTTTATTTCTTATATTTAATTCTTGCGTTTCTCATTCATTGGAGACCGAATTTCATCTCGGAATCCACAACAGTTATAGAATTTTCTTCTCTAACGTACTTCATCTAATGTAATTTATATAACATATATGATATCTCTATCTATAATAGCTGCATTTGTCACAAGTGGGAAAAATTTAAATCTTCATGGCACTTTACGACAATTGGCTCATTCGCTTGCTTAAACTCAACGTTGATTCTGATTCCGCAGAACTGGGTTGGATGTGAAAAGTATTTGTTGTTAACAATCTTTTTTCATTCGGTTTTTCCAGTTACGAGTCCTTTTTTAAAGCTGATCGTTTTGTGTTCATTTTGTTTAGTTCTTTTTTTCGTAACAGATTTAATGTTTAATATAGAGCTTAGAAAAAATTCGCAG